TTAATTTTATACATATATATATTTATTTATTTATATTTATTTATATATTTATATGTATAAATAAATATTTATATAAATGTATGTGTATAAGTCAAAATTTCTGATTTTTGAAATGTAAAAGTTGTTTTGTTATTTTTGAAATAGGGTAAAGATAAAGTAGGGAAAGTGAATTTTTCCCGTTTGGGATCATGGACAATTATTTGGGCTACAAGCTTAATGCATGTTTGGCACTGCTAAGTTATAATATAAGTTAATCAGATTACTATTTATTTACTAACCAAATTTTATTTGTGCATGAGATCATAAAAAAGAAAAAAAAAATTTATTTTTTTATAATAGTAAACCAGTGGATAATTTATGTCATAAACTAATATTACATAATTTTGAATTTAACGTATAAAAATAAAAGTTTTATGAATAAGAAGTCAAATATATGGAATCAAATCATTAACTTTGAATAATTAGGGAAATATGTAGCGTTCAAAAGCTTTTATACACAAATGAGTCCACATAAAGTTAAACTTCATAAATTTTCGATAATTGATTTATAAGTCGATGTCATCGTACACGTCTAACACACTTGCTGACCAGTTGTGGTCATCTCAAATGGTAGGACAAATCATCTCCAGAGTGAGACTATGTCCAGCTCAAAATAGTCATCTTGCAGTCAACCATTCAGCACCGTTGAGCCAAAGGCCGTATTCTAGGCGCAAACAACGCCTAGGTAGGAAGACAAGCTCACATAAGGTAATGCACCAATGCGCCCAAAGATCAGACAGGAGAGCTTGGACTTGGAAATCCAAGAAAACACAGTTGCTTAGCTCAACAAACATAGTTGTATCAACCTGATGCAGATATCACCCACAAATCCATAGTGTCCGGAAAACTGAAGTATGACCAGCCTACCCACGCGGCCTAACATGCAGAGGAGCCTAAACACCTCTTGCCATAATTTTCGCTCCAGGCATGTCCAGTCTTAGGAAAACCATGTTGGATTTTCTATGGAGCTAGAGTAGCATGACTATCAAAGTAGAATCGACTGCTGCCGTCTCCAATTGTTAAAGAATAGCCTATAAGTAATCTGTCATCTATCTTTTCATGCCACTCCTGTTAAACTAACGCCGGGGAATTTTATAAGTCCCTTGTTCTCCATTATTGTTCTAATCTTCTCCACATCCTTCCACTTTTCTTGTCCAGCATATATGTTGGACAAAATAATAAATGGAATTGCGTTTTCAGGCTCCAACTCAGAAAGTCTCTTGGCCATTTCCTCTCCCAGCTTGGAATCTGAATGATACTTACAGGCGCCAAGCAAAGAAGTGATAACAGAAGCAGACATTTCGGATATCCCTTGTAATAATTCACAAGCTTCATCCAGCCTGCCTGATCGACCAAGGAGATCAATCGTGATATTGATTTGTTCGGCAGTTGGATTTAGACCATAGTCCTCACTAATCAATCTGAATATCTGCAATCCTCTTTCAATTTGACCAGTATGACTACACATAGACAAAATGCAATTGAAAGTAACTAAGTTCGGCTCAACTTTGTTCTTGATCATCTGATTGAATATTTCAAAAGCAGCTTCACTCTCCCCATTCCTTCCGTACCCAGAAATCATAGCATTCCAGAATGCTGGATCATCAGGCTTTATGCTGAACTGATTGAAAACACAGTGTGCCTTCAAAGGATGCCCACATTTCATGTACATGTCAATGAGTGCAGTAGCAACGAAATCATCACTGTAGGTATCAGTCCTCACAACATACGCATGAATCTCCTTGCCATAAGTCAAGGCAGCAAGAGCTGAGCAAGCCGGTAATAGGCTAGTGATGCATTTCATACATGGTGTTACGCCACAAGATACCATCTTCCTGAAGAACATGATGGCTTCATCGGCCTTTCCTGACTGTGAAAAACCACTTATCATTGAATTCCATGTCGCTGAGTCTGGTTTGAATCCTTCAGAATCCATCTGGACGAAAAGTTCAATGGCGGTTTCTATCTGTTCGTTCAACATCATTCCGGCGATCATTGAATTCCAAGTCACCAGGGTCCTTTTACAACTCATTTCTTTGAAGAATTCATATGCACAACTCCAAGAACCACATTTTGAGTACATATCCACGAGTGCAGTTCCAACCTTAGAATCAAAATCCATGTCAACTTTAACTATAAAGGCGTGAAGCTGCTTACCAAATTTGATATGCCTACCATTTGCACAAGCAGAAAGAACTGAAATTAGGGTTACTGAATTGGCTTTCTCATCTAAACATTCTCTCAGTTCGTTAAACACGTCTAAGACCATTCCAAAAACCCCATTTTGCAGTAGCCCTGATATATAAGCATTATAACACACCAAATTTTTATCCCCAACCAATCCAAACAACCTTATTGCAGAAGCCAAACGTCCACAACTAAAATACATCATCATAAGCGACGTGGCAGCATAAACATCCATTTCAACACCAATCTTGACTGCCAAACAATGCACTTGCCGGCCATTCACCACATCACTGCACGCAGACATCACAGTAGCTATAGTAACCGAATCGCGCTTACCATTCCCAACACTAAGTAGTTTAAAGAGTTTGAAAGCTTCTTTGCATTCCTCATTATGCAAAAACCCAGAAATAACAACATTGACGGAACCTATATTTGGGTCAGGCATTTCATCGAACAGTTTGATGGCCTCATTTAATAAGTGAAATTTCGTATACATGTTAGTGAGGTCTGTGGCTGTGTGAATGTTTGTTTGATGCCCAGTTTTGATGAGGTGGGCATGGAGCATTTGACCATGGGAAACGGCATTGAGCTTGGCACATGCTTTGAGGAGGTAAGGGAAGGTGAATTTGGAGGGAGGTAACGCGGCAGCATGGAGCTTTGTGTAAAGTTCAATGGCTTCTTTGAAGAGTCCATTTTTTACTAATTTCGCTAATTGGTACCTCATGGAATGTCTAGCATATTGAAAGCATTACATTAAAAATGGCTTCTTTATAGCAAGTTAATAGAACTTGTTAGCTTCTTCAAGAGCAGAAGATTACATTAAAACTCGATTAGTGGAGCTTAGTCGTAGGGACCCATCCCTAGGTCTGACTAGGAACTTTAATTATGTGAGAGTTTGCTATCATTTTTTAAAAAAGATGAACCGCATCCTTGACGACCGTCACCTGTCCTGCCCTAAACTTTGGTGAAAAAGGTAAATCACAAGTTATGTTTTCAAGGGTATAGGGTGAAAGACTGCTTGTACACTTACACTTACCCAATGACCAAATCTTTTTCATACTTCGGAGGGATGGTTTGAGAGTAAATATAAGAGGCAAGTTTTTCAACTGGTGCACTTAACATGTCACTTTCGAACTCGAAGTGGAGATCGCGATGAGCTTTTGTAAGCGAAATGTCCGATTCTTGAATTTTGGATTGGGACAAACTAGATATACCCATGTTATAACTTATAATAAGGTAAGTGGAGTACTTGACGGGACTTGTAGGTGATTAGAGTTGACCCCAACTATGGCTAAGATTCCACTTGATTAGCTTCACGGTTACAAAATTGTTAATTCCTGCTATTTGTCTCAATTTTTTCTTAGAATTAATTCGTTCGCCTTAGAACGACCTTTGCTACAACGAGTCACCTCATCATCATTGCTGAGGCTTCCTTCTCAACCTCGAGCTCAGCCTCATTTTCTTGAAATGGTCTTATCCTCGTGCATGGCGACTAGGCCTCATCTTCTTGAAATGGAGCCATCCTCGTGAGCTGGGCTTCATCATTGACATGTGCTCATCCTCATCCTTGTGAGCTCTTTCTTCAAATTGGTAGGCCGTTTTCTTAACTCCAAATGTACATACAAGGTAACAAGAATGCAATTAAAATCAATGGCAGCCACCATTATCGATCCTTTTATATGAAAATCATGTTTAACAACTATAGTTTTATACTAAGAATGCAATTAAAATCAATGGCAGCCACCATTATCGATCCGTTTATATGAAAATCATGTTTAAAAACTATAGTTTTATAATATGTATGCAAACCAGCCCTTGTATGATTAATGATGATTTTTAAAATTACTTAATCTAATTTATACTTTTAACTTAGTTTCTATATTTCTAACCTACTATTTACTTCACTTCTACCTAGTACTTTGCACTATACACTCACTTGTTTACCATATTTAAAAAAAAAAAAAAAGACTGAGAAACCATAATGTCTACCTTGGTAGTGTATGTAGAGGGAAAATTCATTACCTTGAATTAATAGTCACTCGCTAATTTTGCAGCAAATTGCACTATTAAATCATATCAAGTGACATCACGAGTTCCCCCAAACACTTCAGTACTAATTGTCATTGTTGAAAAGAACACTAATCAATGAAGTGATTGAAGGGAACTCAAGGTAAAACCTGATGCATTCTCCCAAAGAAATATAAATTACTTTCATAATTTGAAATATATAATCTCAAATGATAATGTACGTGTGTGTATAGCTTGAACTTAGTAAATATGTCGCAAGGATCGAGTTTTGGTCACTATTTATAGAGAAAAAACATGAAGATGAAAGTACTAATCCACGAACCTAGCCACAACTACGGGATTAATGGATAGAATCACAACTTTGGAGCGAATTCTCCATCAAAAGAGAGCTGAAAAAGTGGTGGGCGAAAAGATGCATGAAGATGCCATACTCATTTGTTTCGGTATTTTTTCCTTTATTTTTGTAATTTAACCTGCATTCTAGACCGGGTTCATATACTCGAAATAAATAAATATATAAAAAGTATATTAATGAACAAAAAATATTCAATTATAGTTTTCATAAGCCAGGTAAATTGAGCGACTTCTTTCAAAACTATGAGCGTAAACCTCCAGTCGGCCAACGTATATCGAAAGTCGGCATGCACTAATAGAATTTTCGTCAATCGTCATAGGTTTTCTATTAACTAATGATATACCATTTGATAGAAAATACATCACATCATATTGGTGCCAAATTATAAAAATAATAATCTTTAAACTATAAATTAAATCCCATCTTAATCACTATTTTGTAACAAGTTGATACAAAGAAATGCATTTCAAACACGAATCAAGAAATTAAACTTGATTCTCCATATCTTACTACAATTTTCGGAAAGTTGAAAATACTCTCAGACTATACGAATATATATTGAGAATTACTACAATTTTTATTTTTTCTATCTTAAACCTAGTTGTGTCACATAAGAATTGAAGCATAATTCCTTGCAAGTCGATGGTAGTTACCCTTTGGTTTATGAAGGGGTCAAGTATTCTTCGTAATTCCTTTGTTATCATCTTAATTTCGAACTAGTGGTTAAAGACATGTTTGACAAGACTTCTATTTCTTCTAAAATCTTTTCTGGCCAGACAAAACACTTTTAAGAAAATTATCCAAATATATTCAAAAGCAATTCTTGACTTTTCAAAAATTGTACCAAACGAACTTTCAGGTTAACTCCTCTAAAAGTTCTTACAGACAAAATACTTTCTAGAAATTATTTAAATATGTTCAACATAGCTTCTTAGTCTCATAATCAACTTTTTACTTTTCAAAACCTCTGCCAAACAGGCACTAAATGTATGTTAATTGGTTAATAGACACCACACTTAAAGAATTAATTTCAAAATTAATTACACTAACAACAGCTTGAAAAAATTAAATTAATCAGTAAACCACCTATTTCAGATATGATTTATCATGCAACTAGATGAAAGACAAGAAGATGCAGCCATTTAATAATGGGGACGGGAGAAAAAAATCATAATGAGCTGACTTTGTATATAGATTAATTAGTAGCATATTCGATAACTATTACACGATGTATTGAACTATTCAGTCGAGCTCAAACTCGTAATTGAGATTAAGTGGTCAATGATGATATTTTGATGAAGAGCAGATAGCTTGCCATCTGGGAGAGCTGAAAATGAAAGGTTTCCAATAAAGAAGATGCATATGGGATGACCACACAGTATTTATCAATATTCTTCAGTTTTCAATATTGCCCACATTCCCATCCAGGTACATTGCTTGAGGGTTTTGTCTCGATTGTCATGTTCAAGCTATCCTTTCTGCTCGATTTTTTTACCGATTCCTTACATGTTATCCTAACGTCCATGATTATATAGGGTTGTACGAACCCGATTGGTAAACCTATCTACTGATGAAGTGCAAAGAAACCTGCACTGAATGCATGCTTTATAAATAGCAGTGCCAATAGCTATAGCTTAACATGTAGCTGGTGAAGTACAGTCGTGGGACCAAGTCAGGCATAGCACATGATTGTAGCAACTCAGGCAAGTCGTGGCACCAGTAACATCAGGTGTACCCTAGAGTTCCCCTGACCGCTTCATGGGGCAATTTTGGCTGCTGCATAGTATGTAGCCATTTGGCCTTCTGAAGTGTTTGGGGGAACTCCCGTGTTTCACTTGATACGTTCATGCACAAATTTCATCTTTGTGAAAGGATCTCAGCGTCAAAAGAGTGAGTATATAATGTGTGACCATTACAACTTGCCGATTTGGCCGGTAAATGCTTCGTGAAATAGGTGATAAAGTATTTACTTTCTTTAAAACGCACAATTTAAAGTATCAAACATGTCATAAAATATTGCTTGAGATGTTTTTGAATTCTGTTTTAGGGCTTTAGTTTCTTCTCTTTAGCCATTCCGATGCAATTGCTGGGAAACATATGGGAGCACGGCAGGGTCGAGACTTCCACCCCTTTCAGGAGCATACTGTACAACTCCCGGTTTCACGGGGAGCCTTGCTGCGGTCCTTGACACCCGGACTCGTCCCATTGTAGTCCATCTCTTTCTCAGACAGCAATAAGATTGTACTCTTAGGTCGTAAATTTCAAGTTTTTTTTTTTTTTAAAGAAACCACTGTATGTGAATACTTCCATATAAGTAAGAAAAAAGTACTTCCGTTTTATGAACATCAATAGATACAATGCAAAACCATCTATCAGTGTCTGCATGAACAGCAGCAAGAAAATTCTGCCTAGAAACCAATAATTACTACTGACCAAATCACCTACATGAACCTCAAAAGTCTGATGCCACATATGAGAAATTTTTGATATAGTGATATTTCTATTACTCAAACCTGTAATTCTAATCATCAACAGATGACCATATCCATCCATTAATGCACGTAAGTCCTTCACTCCTTTCCTCTGAAATATAAGAAATGACACGAATTTAGGAAAATAAACGAATTAAGCAAGATGAAAGTGATGACTATGTATTCCTTTTCATTGATTGAATAATTAAATCCATACAAGTAGTGTCCTTATATAGTGGAAAAGAGAATATTCCTAACAAACTATACATGAGTTGTACAAATTGGTTTCAACAAAAAAAATTCTTCCACTCATAACAGAATTGAAGCAGAATTTCCTTAGGCGATGTTTATAGAAATCAATGCATAGCTGGCGTTGCTGATTGCATCAACTCTGCTGGCCATCGTCTACCTTGCTGGAGTTCTTGCTTGCATTGAGCTCTTCTTCTTCAACTTGCTAGCAGTGAGCTCCCCTTCTTCAACTTGCTGCCATATTTTAACAGCCCCCCGCAAGATGGAGAGTAGATGTCTTCTATTCCCATCTTCGATATATGATAGTAAAAAGGTGCTGAAGCTGAAGGCTTTGTCAAAATATCAGCAACATGAGTGTCACTATTTACGTGTTTAGTAATCATGCTCCCTTCTTCGATTTTATCACGAACTAAATGACAATCAAGCTCAATGTGCTTGGTCCTTTCGTGAAAAACTGGATTGGCGGCAATATGTAAAGTAGCTTGATTATCACAAGCTAATGATGTTGCTTGAGCATGATCAATTTGTAAGTCATGTAGCAAGTACCTAAGCCAACTCAGCTCACAACAGACACTAGCCATAGCCCTATACTCAGCTTCTGCAGAGGATCTAGAGATGGTG